CCGCCGAGGACGACACTGGCGAGAGAGCGCGAGGCGGTATACCTAGCGTTGTACAGTCCGCGCAGAAAGTGGCAGAGAGTTGCCCCAGCCTGCTCGCGTAGACGTATGTAACGCGGTCTAGACCGTGGAGATGCCTAGTGTCCCCGCGGAGCCGCGGGCGGTCAACTCGATCGACAGCGCGTCGCCGTATATACAGCCTGAAATCGAGGTTTCGCAGACCGAAGACCGGGAACGCGCGCGCGCGTGCGATAGCATGGCGCTGTCCTCGTTCGAGAGTGTCGCGGTCTTTGGGACAGCTCCGGCGGTTCGCGGAGCTACGCCCGGACGACGAGTATGTACGTAGTCGGCGGTGGAGCGATACCGTCTACGTACATCCCGTTCTACCCCTGTTTTACCCTCGACGTATCGAGCGCGATAGTGGTGGTGGCGGTGGCGCGCTGCTGCTGGTGGTGTGGAGGCGGCGGCGGTGGGTTAGTAATGATGATGAGGATCTTTCGCGCCACCTGGTATAAGAGTATCGGCGCACAAAGTGAAACGTCGTCGTCGTCGTCCTCGTCCTCGTCGTCGAGGGAAAGCGTGAAAACTGCGAGAGTCGGCGCGAGTACCGATTAAAGGGAACGACACGACTTTCCCGTGCTGCGGATCATACGAATCGTTCATAATTCCGCCGATACGTCATCCTCGTCCTTCCTCTCCTCTCCTCTCTGTCGTGTAACATGGATCGCGCGCGATACCGTCGGCGGTGCGCGTAGGTGGACGGACGAAGCTGCTGCTGCTGCTGCTGCATGTTATAACCTCAACGGAGGGAACATTGTGGCGTGACGGACCGCCTCAGCTGCACTGCGAAATGTGATTTCGCGTCAATTGAATCCAAGGGTGACCCTCTCGAGCGTCGAGGATGAGGAACGGCTTCACCGACATACCGGTCGCGAGTGCCGACAGCAGCACGGACGCCATATGGCTCGAGAAGAGCAGTCCGTCGCGGATGGCACCCGAACGAATGTCACTGAGTACGTTTCCCCTTCGTATACACGTCCCGTTCGCGCGTGCCGCGATCGTCGGCTCGAGAATGCGAGTCACTTGCTCCGTTCACGGAGTCTCCTCCGTGTTGTCCTGACGCGATTGACACGCGGGAATCGGAAAAAAGGAGATCGCGCATCCTTTTAGCGTTCCACGCCCGCGGCACAGAAAATTCAACTCGATCTCTGTTTCACTCCGAAATCGTCGCGCGGGAGGACTCCCCGAGCGAGTCGACGGTGAATCGATGTAGTCTCTTGATGTCGCCGGAGTCACAAGTGTTTACATTTACGCGGTTTACGCCTCGCTAATCATGTCATCGCGACGCGGCACGCCGCGCCGTGTCATCGAGCGCGCGCGCGGGATCGATCGAGGATCCTCAATCGAGACGCGTCACGTGCGCGACAAGTCGGTTTTACCTACCTGTTTCCTTTTGACACCGCCGGTTACTCCGGAACGGCGTGTTTACGCTGCACGCTGGATATATTCTCGATTGTTTGGACGCGTCTCGAAGAGGTTTTAATAGAGGAGCGAAATTTGAATTCTCTTTGATCGTCCCGTGACGAAAATCGATGCATCATAAGATAATTTTTTGGACGTAAATGAAGACTCTAATCAATCGGAATTTTGATTGTCTCAACTAGAATTATAATAAATTCAACAAAAAATTCTCATTTGTCCATTTTTAATCAGAATTCCAATTAATGCCACCAATGCTCTTTCCAGTGTGGAAGCTGACTGTACTGATAAAAAATAACTTTTTTTCGAATCTTATTTCTATGAAATCTCTGATTTGATTCTCGATATAAGCATATTCTTAATTCATGAGGTATACGTGAAAAGTTGATGATTAATCCCTAATTTTATTAATTAATTGTATCCAGAAAATTGGATTCGATCTTTTTTATCTAATCAATATAGGTAAAGAAAATAAATAATACATGAAACTCTTCTGTTTACTTATAGATGTGTAACACGTGCAATAAAGTTTACTAATTTTAAATAATTGCAGTAAAACAACAAACTCTTAGATTAACAAAGTCGTAGGTCATCTGACTTCAACCTTGCTAAAATTAATTAATTCAAATTAATTGGAGTTAATTCAACGGTTGCGTATTACGAAGTATACATGAAAAACTAGAAATGAATGCCGAATTTTATCAATTAATATTATCTGAAGGTTGCGTGTTACGAGGTATACGTAAAAAGCTGATGATTAATGTCTAATTTTATTAATTAATATTATCTAATGTTTCTAAAAAATATCGATGTTGATTTAATTTAATTATAAATAATGCGGTGTCTATATATATATATATCATTTTTATCATGTTGGTATTAATATTAACACGTGGATTTAACTATACGATGTCTGTATAATTCTCACCGTTAACGTGGATTTATAACTCCTGGTGTTTGTATCAACATCATGGTGTGGATTTAAAATCCATGATGTTAAATCCACATCACGTTGATGTTGATATCAATACTAGTATCACAGTGACAATTATATAGACCTTGTATAGCGTTAAACACCGATATTTTTTACAGTACATGAAAATTAGTTATGATTAGTTTTGTGTTGGTGACGCAATAAATAGGCCTGAGCATCAGCACAAAAAAAGCTATTTTTGTATTGGCGCGCGAGAAAACGGCCTATATACTAATTACAAATCGATTTAGGATTTATCGGATGTAGCTTAACGATGCGTTGTCGCATAACAATTAATAAATTTACATGATAAATAACCAGGAACAAGATTTAACTGGATTATTATACATGCTACAAAAACATCGGTCGGCAATAGCTAATTGAATATATTTTATAAATAGCACGTCTATCGACAGAATTTCTTTTGATAATACTCATTCTTGCAATGTAATTCTCGACTTCCATACATTAAAAAACATTAGTTTTCTAGGAACAATGTATATTGAAAGTTTTTATTCCAAGTATTCTTTTAAAAAATTTACTCTTATATAATGTTATTCCCTCGATGTGATGTGCATAATAGGTAACTAAGCGTTAAACAACTACTTTCGAGAGTATAAGGCTTATACGTCCGCGTTTTTTTCAGATTTCGAGAAAGTCGTCGTCAAGCAAGAACGTCCAGACGATGCGGAAATCCGTGAATTGGCTGCCAAAATGGTGGAAGCACACAAGGCGAAAATGCTGGCGAGCATGCCAGCAGTACAACAACAACAGCAGAGGCAGCAGTGTCTTATACCGCAGCCTAATCTTCCCGGTATTCTTGGATATCTGCATAAACGACCAACTGACGGGTCGTCCGCTCCGAAACCGCCGACCGGTGGTTTGGAAAGTAAAGTGCCGACGCCGGACGACGACAGCCAGCGGGGACGATTTGGTTGGACGAGCTTTGACGAATGTCACATACCTTATATATTTCGCTCCGGCGAAAAGTATTGCGCCGTACGCATCCTAGAATCTAAGCTTCTCAACAAGTACCTGAGTTTTCTTCATTCGGACATCTACAGTTGCACATGTATAAGGAGTTATTACATTACGGAGGCCGAGAGCAAGTTGTTTAACGAGATTAACACTAAACACTGCGAGAATCAATTCGGGAGGGACGTGTTTACGTGTAAGGACCTGGTGGTGCGTCTCTCGGACGCTAAGGAGTTTTATACATTTCTCGATGTGTGTTATACCAAACTGACCGCTGGTACCAATCCGAGCGTGACAAGCGGACGCAAAGCAGAGAAATGTGGTTTCATACGAATAAACAAAGAGTCTGTAGTACCTTACACGGTAAAGGACAATCTGCAGTACGTGCCGCTATTTTATTTCGAGGGCGAGACGGAAAATCTCAAGCTAAAAGCGGAAAAGCTTGAGGGCTGGGATTTGTCGTATTTGAAATTTTGCTGCAAAGTACAGGGTATACGTAACGAACTATTTGCGAGTGAAACGTGTTCGGTAATCAGTTTGAGTGACATTAAGAGTTACTTTCCACCGGGTACCGGCTTCGAGGATTACTGGCCGACCAAAGTTATGGACTCACAGTTATTGGTGAACAGCAACGGAAGCGGTGCTGGCGGTGGATGGACAAAACAGCCACCTACACCGCCGGCGACTAAACCTCCTTCCGTACAGAGCGCGAATAAAGTGGCACCACCTCTAAACACGCGTACCGTACCGATGCCTAATATGATGCCACGGGGGACTGTCGCGAGTACGGCACCGCAGATGCCGCGAATAGGACAGCCGAGGCCTGTAGTGACGCACCCCGCGCATTCCTCCCCATCGGGACTTCCTACCGGTAGATCAAACATGCCGGTAGTGTCGCAGCCTATGCTGAATACTGTTCAAGGTGTGGTTAACGGCCATTGGTCAGGCCTCGTCGGTGGTCAACCTACCTTTCAACCACTCAATTCTCAGGCCAGCATTATACGAGCGACTCTGAACAATGTGATGCACAACGTAAGCTAATCTCCTTGTATTATAAATCCAACAATGGTTGCCACCTTTCGGCTAGTTATGTTATCGAAGATTATAGAAGATTACGACTCTTTGGAGATGTCGCTAACCTATCAAAAATCGATAATCACTGCCAAGATCGTTACTTTCTTCTCATACAGTACTTTTCATCCAAGAGACGTCTTGGAAAAGGTGTAGGGACGCGTCTTTAGAACATTTCTTGGAGGTCTGTATTGTATGAGTGGTTTCTAAAAAAAAAATGAAGAAAACTTAGCAGATTTAGTGAATATTTTGCTGAATATTTTGCTGAATATTTCGAAAGAAAAATTGTTCATCTGAAAAGAAGCTCGTCAAAATTTTGGGCGATTAGCCGAAAATTTTTTCCGTCGCTTGAAAAGCCGAAGATTCTTCAAAAAGTTTCCGTCCAAAAACCAAAGAGGTGGCAATCGTGATTATAAATCATAATATGAGATGTACGCGATGTTTTAATAATTTTTGTAGTTGTAGCTTTAGTGTTTATATCACATACCAGACAAAATGTACAGTTTTTTATTTTTAGCAACAAATGACGACTGCTCCCAAAAGCTATTCTCAACAGTCTAGAAGTAGAGCAAGCAGTAGTGGAGCAGCAGCTCAGTATCCTGGGGTATACCCGACGACAACCATGCAAGGGGTTGCTCAAGTCCAACCACCGCCTCTTATACGAGCAACTGTTCACTCCAATCAGCCGAATCTCGGGTAAGCATCAATAGAATTTTCTAAAAACTTTTGATATAGCTTAGTACGTATATATATGTGATGTAAGCTCACAAAGTTTTAAATCATTTTAAAAGATATTTTTGTTTTTCTTTTATCAATGGTTTTTTTTTTTGCAACTATGTATTTTTATACCGTACGCTTGCTTATAAAGCAAACCAATTAGCATAGAGTGTACATAATATCCAATCAAATTGTTACACCTATTTATTTTGTATTGTGTATGGTATCGTTTACAAAAAATTAGAAATCGTATATTCCAAAAGATAATTTTAATTAAAAAAAAAAATTAATAAGTGTTTTCTTTCTTAATCAAATAAATTAATGTGTGAAAGAAAGAAATTTCACTTTTTGTATACAGCACATTGAGCATGAAATATTGAGCATTAAAGCCATATGATTATCCTAGCTTGAAACATTATGTTTACATATATAAAGCGTAATTATAATCGTTATATGTAGAATATCTGCACCATAGCTTTCTGCATTTGTACATACAACGTATGATTTTTTTTTTATATAGTTATCCCACCTATGGGAAGGATGACTGGTGAGTCCTTGTAACATATACTATTGTCATATAGATTATTATAAGAAATAAGATAGCATGCATAAATTTATATCTCAAACTATAAATCATATAGATAACTCTAACATCAATATTTATAATTAATCTACATGACTGTCTTTAAAGCTTCTCTCTCTTTGCGTGATACATTAAATACATTAGTCATGAATCTACTTTACACACACAATATTTACGTCACATAATATTTCAAATTTTATAATGATTAGTGTATGATTTATTATATTGCTGTCAATGTATAAACAAAGTAGTCTGTATATATAAATATTTAGGCAACTAGAATAGAAATATTTATTATCTGAAAAAATGTAGTAATTGTAATATATCCAAGTAAAGATCGAAAGCCAATTAGTTTATTTACGAATGAGAAAAGCTTCGAACGACAACTAGTATCTTACAATGATTCTAACGTAAAAAGTGATGTATTATATTTTATTATATACTACTCAACAAAAAATAGGGAATACTTTCAAACACATTCAAAATTGCACAATATTCAAAACACCGTAACTCGGTGAAAAATTATCGCAGACAAAAAATCAAAAAAGCATTTGAAAGGTTGAAATCTCTACTTTCGAAATCGATAATTTATATTTCAATCTGACTGATCTTTTACGAAGATATGGACACAAATGGATATCCGTCAAATCTAAAAATTTTTTACAAACTTTACAAAGATCTATGGCATGAAGTAAAAATCACACAAAAATGTTTACAGCAATCGAAAGAGTGAATCTTTACCTATCTTTAATTTGCTTTTTTATTGATCCTTACGACTTGTACGATTTTTTTGTTCACCGAATTATTCAACATTGAAGCAAACATGATTATTTTCGCTTTAACGTTCAATAACTCGCTTTTTTAAATATCTCGTTACAACCATTTTTGATGAAATTATTCTATCTTTAAGTTAAAGGATCATTTAGAATTAGCATTAGAAAGGTCAAAATCAAGGTTTACTCTGCGAAAAATGATTACGAAGCGATGTTTGAAATAAGCGTTTAAAGCTTAAAGCTAACTTTCGAATGCTTCAAACCATTTTTGTATGTAAAAATTTTATTACAAGTCTTTACCTTCAATTTGATTTTTTATTCAACATTGAAGCAAAAGTGATCATTTTTGCTTCAACATTCAATAACTCGATGCAAAAAAATCGTACGCTCAATAAAAAATGCAAATTGAAGGTAAAGATTCACTCTTTCGACTGCTGTAAACCGCATTTTTGTGTGAATTTTACGTAGACCTTTATAAAGTTTGTACAAAATTTTCAGATTTGACGGGTATCCATTTGTGTCCGTATAGCTTTGTAAAGAATCAGTCAGATTGAAATATCAATTGCCGATTTCAAAAGTAGAGATTTCAAGCTTTCAAATGTTCTTTTGATTTTTTGTCTGCGATGATTTTTCACCGAGTACAGTGTTCTGAATATTGCGCAATTTTGAGCGTGTTCGAAAGTGTTCCCTATTTTTTATTGAGTAATATATAATATTTTCTAGAAATCATTTACACACGAAGGATTTCATTTATCTATCTACCTGAATGAGAGATATCTCGAGTAATATGAGTAAAATGTCTAAAATATGTAATAGATGAAATAAATGTTGACAGCATTATTATAAATCCATTTATAAAATTTATTTCTTTTGTCATATTAATAAAATATGTAATTTATATATATAGTTTATGTATCCTTTCCATATAGGAATTGCTTTTATATGAATCTACTTTATTTTTTATTTTTACAATTTAATATTGCAAAAAATGGATTTATTTATTAAAAATTGAATTAAATTATATTTGTAATTTGTACAAACTTAAATATGTAAATATAATGTAATTTAACCATATCTGCATAAATCTTGTGTTGTTTTTGTGAAATTGTATTGAATATTTTATTAATTTATGTAAAGATATAAAAATGTATTATAACAAAAATAAACATACACACACAAAATTAATAGACACTCATATTTATTGCCGAAAAGATTAAAGACTTTAATGATAGAAATTAAATAAATGACAATTAGTAACAGTTATTCAATAAAGTAGTAAAAAGTAATATAATTTTTGTATTTCAGGGTGACCACGACATATACAACACCTACGTTAGGTGTACCTAATGCAGTCACAGCAACTACATATCCACAAATGCTTGGTTTAAGTGAACAAGTCCAAGCTTTAATGCCAGTACCTACATCAGCACCAAATTTATTGCATCCACAAAGGCATACGCCATCTGTGCATAACACATCTCATTCGAAATATCCACCTCCTCTGATACCAGTTAATGGTAGCAGCGGCAGCGGCAACAGTAGTAACAGTTCCAGGTATATATCATTACTTACTATTGACAAGCTAAATGAATAAACAGATCAGATTAATTCTTCTTTTAACGTTAAGATATATTATAAAATGTGTTTGATTCAGCGTACGATTCACGCTTAAGTTATTTTTTAGGGATACCCGAGGGAGGAAACCACTGATACCAATATCGGACCCACAACATATTACTACTTGCCATGTACAACCATACCAAATACAGAAAGCATTACTTGAAGAAAAGATGGTGCCCTGTATTAATTTCAAACCTTACATCTATAGTGAATTGCTGATGACACTTCCTGACTTCGTTTCCAATTTTTTTCCTGCCTGTGACATCGAGAGTTGTAGACAAGTTCTTACAGATGTACTACATATAGAATTATATCAAGGAAATAGGTAAATATATACATAAATAAATAAATATAGACAAATATAAATAAATAAATAAATAGTTAAATGGGATAATGACTATAATTGATACTTATTATATTCTATGAAATAATCTCTTTTATATAAAAGAAATAAAACTTTGCAGACTGCAAATGAAGATGTTAATGGAAGCAGGCAAATGTTCTTCATTAACAGAAGATCTACCTTTAATCCATATTAGGAGTATAATGAAATATATGCCACAATTCAAATATATGTTCAATAGAGGAGATATGGTCATGCCTTCCCCAGCTCATTCGTCCGAAGAGCACCCTGCCAAAAAGCGTCAACGTACCAGCTAGGATTGGCTACAGCCTTACTGGCCTACTTATGATTATTACCATTCGGCATTTTAAAGCCGATATTCTCATGATCGTACTTTGGAACGCCTTTGAATGTTAGGTGTATCTAAATACAAGTGCATAACGTCGCGTATGATGCGCGACAAAATATACATTGATTCTGACGAATTCAAAGTGTAAAGTGACACAGTGGTGAGAGCTATTTCTTTCTCCAAAGTGTATTGAAGAGGACATGACTGTAAATAACATTGAAACGTGTAAATTTAAAATATGATTGACAATTCAGATTTGCTTTCTATGTAGAAAGATTTATTTCAATAGTTGGCATTAGATGTCGTTTTCGATCCAATTTTCGTGTAAACGTCCACTTTTCTTCTTGTATCTTGATAATGAGTTGTCAGACATACGTAATTATGGCGTTCTGTGATTTGCGAAAGATGGTACGCATATAATTGATTTGTATCTTTTGCCAAATTGTCATCAAAATTGTTTTAACGCGGCCGCTGTTGAGGTAAAGCACACCTTACTTGCATCTATCGATTGTCAAAACAAGAACGTTAAGGAGGGGATTGTCGACACGAAAATCGAGTCGAAAGTTGCATCTGATGTCAATCATTGATTTATTTTATTTCCATTTTTGAGAGATCTGTTATAATATAAAGATCATTATATTGTTACATAACAAAATAGACCTAAATTAGAGAACGGTCTTATTTTCAAATTAAATATCCTATCATTCCACGTATATACATACTTTGTCCCTCTCTTCTACACACGCACACACATACACACACACACACACACACACGTGAGTACGCAACATACAAACATTTCATTTCTACCTCTTTACACAACAGTGAATACTATTCTTTTAGACCTCAATTTTATGTGTGTTCTTGTTATGCATTAGTATCTTGTGTGTATAAAAAAAGTAAAAGTTCTATTTTAAAGAAAATTCGGAGAAAGAAAAGGCTATTGTTCCATTTATTGTAAATGGGCATAACGTGCTATAGAGTTATTCAGAATGAATAACCTATTTTGCATATTAAATGTATATCAATAAAAAGAGCGAAAAATGGAAGTAAAGCTTCTTCAAGTTCCTAGCTATTACTAGTGCGTATCCTGATAACTAGCTACAAGTTAATTTAAAAGCGTTAGACCATTCATTTATTGCTATAATTTTGCGTGAGTTTTTATACCATTTTCTTAAAACTTGTTAAAAAGCGTTAAGGTAATTTATTGATGAATAATTTTCGTTTCGAGTGTTAAAAAATATGTACAGAGAAGAATGTGGTGACGTACTGAACAAAATAATGGAACGGAACAAATGCCTACTTAATGTGAAAAGATAGCAGTGAGCAATATCTCTTGGATACATTTGTAGGAGATATGAATAATGTACAAGATCTAATACTGGGTACGGTCAATGCGATGCTACAAACGCTTTGAAGCGTTTTTTAATTGTTCAGTTTGTAAAATTCTTCTAATTGGTCCATGAAACGCTTCAAAGCATTTCTAGCGAGACTGACCACAGCCCTAGTCATACAATTGATAAGAAAATAAAACTGACTTTTTTGTATCTTTTTTTTAAATATAGTTAAGAATAATATTTCGCCATATTGCTACTGCATCTTTCAGATATTTGCACTGTAAACCTTTTGCTTTAAGCATTTCGAAATTTCCGAAATTTGTTACGCAATGATAAAATTTAATAATTCTTAAATTTAATAATTTTTGAGTTTGTTGAAGACAAGTATCTCGTGATGGGTTTAGGTGAAAATTTATTGAGTCGAGTGGAAAAGACTGCGTCTATATAAAAGTATAAAAAGTTTGTAAAAGTGTACGACAAACAATATATTTATTATGCCAGATGCGTTATACGCATCAAGTGTGATACCCGATGTACTATAAAGATCTTATAAAAAAGAAACGTTATGAGTCCAAAATTGAAGTGATTTCGCTCAAAGCGAAATTAATAATTGTGCAATTGTAATTGTTTCGCACCTTTAACCCAGTTCACAGATATGTTAAATTTATGTACGCATTTAAAAACGTCCAACCCATATACAAAACTGTTAAGACATTTATATGAATATATCATGAAAATGCGACAAAAAAGAACATTCAAATGATGAAAAGAAATCTAATTGATATTTGAACCACGTTAAAATAGTCTTCCACTTTATGATTCATATAAATATACGTCAAAAATAAAATTATATTCAGTTCAATAAATTATTTCTCGAAACATTGACATTATATTAATCTATCTTCGATAATTTGTCTTATTTATTTCCATTTACAATAATAGAATGCAGGGCGCAATAGGAGGCCCCTCTTTTCAGGGCACCGTATAAAATGCTATTTTATCTCTTCTCGATGTGGGACAGAGCATTAAAAAATTATCGACCGGCGATATATATAATATAAATAAATAAATATATATATATATACTTTCGTCACTCACTAATTTTAGCGTAAGAAAGCTCTAAAAAAAGTGTACATGGCAAACAAGTGTATATAAAGAGATAATTATAACGACTGATTCACGTCGAACGTGAATCTTCCACGTAAGGCAGAAATTGTTTGAATATTCTGTCTAGTAGTGAAGTATAGTATATTATTTATGAAGCGATATATTTTGTGGTATTACAATTTGGAAGACACTTTGCATTGCGCTATCGAGAAACTTTGGACTGGTATATCTTATTCTTACAACAAAGTGGTTCAAGAAAATATAGAAGAGATCCGAAGATGGAGAGAAACGGCTGGCGGTTTATTATTAAAATAAAAACGTTTTTTTTTTTAGAGCGGTGATATTATTTCATTTAAGCAAAAATGCTAATGTTATTTATAATTTTATTTCTACGATATTCCATGTTATGTACGTAACGATATATTTGCAGTCAAGTGGATTTCGTTCAAAATAGTACACATCAGTTTTTGTTTTATGTTTTGTTTTTCATTTTATGTTTTATCAGATTCGTGAGCACATAAGTTTGATATAATTATATCAAATGATGAATTTGCGAAGAGACCTCGCATATATATATATATATTTATATATGACAAAGGAAAGTACATGTCGATTTTATTTTGTGATTCTTTGGCGCGACGAGAAGAGAAACGTCTATGAAAATTTTAAAATTATTTTTATGGAAATAACGCATACCATCTTATTACCTTGTAAACCGTGTCGCATACGTGATTTTATTTTTCTCGAGGTAAATGCAAGAGATGGCTCCAGTCCAAGACGTTAGAATATAATATCATTTTTAATATGTTAGAGTAGCACATTCATTTGTTAACGTTTGTTAAAACTGTGTATTATACTTTATCATGCTATCATTTGTATATATAGAGTATAAGGAAATAGAACTATTAGACATTTCAAAATAAATTCATGATACAATCAATGGCAGTCAGTTTTTCTTCGCATCCAACATCTTTCGCGCGCACGCACGTTTTATATGTTAAATTATATTGTATAATTAACAGGGAATCGAAATACATGTTACTTGTAACGCCATACAATGGGAAAAACGAAAAATCGTGTTTCAAAATTGTCTAGAGCCTTTAAATCTTAATCTATTTCCATTTTTTTTTTAATAAAAGCTTATTTCATTTCGAAAAAGTTGTCGAGGTTAATTTTTGAATTAGGCTTTTTTTCAAAATGATTGATGTAAAACGGTAAATTGAAAAATGAGAAATCATGTTTCAAAATTTGAAGTCTTCAAATCTTCACCAATTGTTTTTCAATAAGAGTTTATTCAATTTCGAAAAAAGTTGAGGTCAAATTGAGTTAGATTTTTTTTCAAAATGGCGACTGAAAAACGGAAATTACAATTTTAATCCGATTTGTACTAAATCGAGTCTATAATGTATGTTAAATTCTTGATGTTGCAGATTATGAATCTAATATTGTTGTGAGTTTATTATGATTATTGTGCATACATAAATGGCGAGGCGTCAGCAATACTGCTGCTATCTGAGTCCCTCAGAACAATGAATCTTACAACATAAAGTGGGGCAGTAAGTATAACAATCTAAATTAGCAATTATACATACAGAAGTGCCAATATAATGCATACAAGAATGATATGATTTCATGAAGTAATCTTAGTAAAGTCGCATACAATTCAATTTATAGGCAAAGTAATTAACAGAATTATTGGTGGTGAGTTTGACGGTATCCTCGCGAAAAGAAGACAAGGAAGTGGAGAAACGGATAGTATGGGGTAAGAAGTTACAGAATTTAGTGACGATGTATGAAAATGCGGCTTTGAATTTGGTGGTATGATGTAAGGGGAAAGATAAAGAATCGTAATATCGTGTACTGGGTGTGTCACAAGAATAAAAGTTCGAGTTAAAGTGAAGGAGATTACGAAGATATTGAGGTTTACCGAAGCGGAGGAGACGAAAGACGAGCACAAATGAAGGACGAAATGTTGATGGATCCTTCAGCAATCCAGAGCGAATAAACAGTGGGGAAATGTAATCGTATTTGCGAACGTTCCCATACGCATATTAACCCTCTATGTTTCGTTTTAGAGTCTTAATTTATATGTCTCTCTCTCTCTCTCTCTCCGGGTCCAAGTCACCCATGGCGTTTTTTATTGGCTCTGTAATTATCATAAATCTCAATGGAAAATATTCTTTTTTTAATGGGTATTCTATACTCTGTATAATAGTGTGTTCATTTTTTTAAAAAATCAAATTTTTTAATCTCTCTCTCTCTCTCTCTCTCTCTACCTCCACCCCCACTCACCAGGGTTGCAAAATTTAAAAAAATTTTCAGAATAAAAATTAAAGATAACGTCGCTTGACATCGTCGATGATACATGTGTTCTTTTTAATATACTTATTATATGGCTTATTTTTACCGATGTGACTCAGTTTATTTTGCGTATTTCTCTTATTGTCGGACTCACACCACTACGATAAATCAAGATCTTGAAATCATAAGACGCGTTCACTTTCACATAAGTCGATCATAAAACGATGCTTTTACATATGGACTGCACACATCGAGCGATAGGGAATGCGATCAATATATATTTTTGTAATTTTACCGAATTCTTGGACTAACTATGTACATTGAAAATGACCCGATCGAGGTTGAAACGTCTGTAATACTAAACATTCTTTATATTATATTTGTTATTGGTATTAAATGATCTTTGTATTACATATGGCTCGTATCCCTTTTTTTAATTACTGATTTATTCTGATTGAGCCTTTTTGATAAAAAAAAATTTGAAAATTAAAGAGTCTCAAATGCCGAATTCGTTCATGTCTAATAATGTTATGGTTTCACGATTCAATTTTTCAGAAAACTATATGATATTAACGTGCGTCGCGTCTATAACACGATTATCACTAGGGATGCACCGGATCATAAAATTACCGGATACCAGATATCGGATATCCGAGAAGGCAATTTCTTCGAGTCGGATATCACAAATTTTTCGGATATCCGACCGAATTCCGAGAAAATGTCTTAAAAAAAATCTGTAGAGAAAAAATTGTAATTTTGCAACAATGTATAAAATATTATAGCATTATGAATATGCATATTTATTTCTAGAACATTTGTATAATATAAAATCATTCCTAAATACTAATAATATCCGACTATCCGATTGGATAGTAAAAAAGTGCCGGATAATACCGGATATTGAATACTTTTCGGATATCCGATGCATCTCTAATTATCACTTCTTTTTCTGAAAAATTGAATCGCGGAATCATAACATTATTCTTAGTCAACTCGACTACTGAAGCTTCGGAAATATTCTTCGCAATAACTGATATGTAGACAGAACGCGTTATATGGCCTCCAGGGTTAGGAACGTATGATATCCTGTGTATCATACATAGGTATTTTATGTATGATACTGATTAGTATCACACGTAGAATACCTATGTATGATACACAGGGTATCATACGTTCCCAACCCTGGTTATTATCACATCGTTCTTCACAATTGTCAGAAAATTAGGTTATGTTTTCAGTTTTGCAATTGGCAATGTTGAAATTTAATCGACCGATTAGTAGTTTAATCGGAGTTCGTGACCCAGTAAATGAGAATGGATTGAAATGGATTCAGATTTTCACGAATACGGATTCACGAATGTTAAAATGAATGGTTTTCAATTTTGAATGCATTTTTATTCATTTATAGGAACTGCATGAAGCATATGTCTATGCCTTTCAATCTGAAAATAATATCAGCTTTTTTCTATGCATCGTGAATACTGTTCAATTCAAAATTTTGAATAGAAAATGCAGTTTTTCAATTCTATTGCACCCAATTGAATCTAATTGAATCCAATTGAAACCAAAAAAAAGTTTTCGCTATTTAAAATACACATTCGGATAGATAAAATTTCAATCCATTTTAATCCATTCTCGTTTACTGGGCTGCGTTCGGAAACATCACCCGGATGCCCCCGTGTATCATCTTATCCTTATTTAACATTGGGTGAACGACAAGAATAAAATGATGCATTGGGGCACTCGGGTGATGTTTTCGAACGCAGCCCTGGAGACACCGGGCCCAACTCCGATTAACTTTG